TTCAATATAGACATTATTATTATTTATATCTGGGCAAGAACTCATGATGCGACAGCAGGAGAATGTGATAATGAAATGAAGATAATGAATTATAGTATCCGTCACTTTTCGCTTATCTTATACAAGGTGTAAGCATTCTCACGATTAGGTTTCTAATTAAAAAGAAGTCGAATGTGATAGGATCGGGAACTAGACCCTGAGGAATCGCGATAGAAGGATGTAGATCGTGGTACAAACAATTCAATGCAATGTTTATCACACGTGCACCTTGTGGAAATGTCAAAGGAGCTCCAAGCGCATCAACTGTGCCGAATTCAAACTAATTATAAATTATGAAATTAGAATCTTTTGATATTAGCCAAAAAGAACATCAGTGTAGTCTAACATACTGTAGTTCTAGCAGGAAATGTAGTTCTCGTTTTTCTATCCGAAACACAATAATGCCATGCCTGCAATAAATTAAAACTTTTAGAATATTATACAAACATCATGATTACCAAACTGCATAAAAACAACTTACTATCATACGAGTAGGTACTTGATCATCAAGAACTGGGTCAATTTTTACAACAATAGCATCATGTGCACGATCAGGCTTTAGCCAGTAGTTCTTCACCTTGTATGTAACATGATCTATCGTCTCCGAATATGCAACTTCGATAACAAGATTTGGCCAAGGACGAGTCTAAAAATAAACGAGTATAATATAAAACTTTCAGTTATTGAACGGTTTAATTGAAAAAAAACACAGTACCCCTTTATCAATTCCGTTTGGGTATGCTACTTCCGGTTTTTCCGGACGAAACGAATTATCGGCCTCTTTTGCAGACCCATCAGCATAGGTCCCTTTAGAGGTTAAGATTATTGTCAGATATGCATAAAGTAAAAAGAATTAATTAATCGATTCTTACGAGTTGATCCAAAAGCACAAATCTCAGCAGGAGTATCTTCAACATTTCTGCAGGAACTCTCTATTACCTTCGAAATTTTGTGAATACAAACTTCATGCGGTTCTGATCGTAATTCATAAATTATAACGTCGCCGTTAACTCATTCCCAATATCCATGGATGTTAAACTCGTCAGAACGTTTCTCATATTCCTCCAGCGTGACACTAACCGCAAGTTTATACGGAAGTCTTGATATGAGTAGCAAAAATCGACTTTTATTCTCATTATTTCATCAAAATATCAATTAACGTTAAAAATAAATAGGAAAGGGACTCACATTGCTTCTTCCCAGTTTGCTTTTTGATGGAAATATCCTTTTTCCCACCATAAGGTTCTATAATAGTGGTATTCAGGCATTCTCTTTGAAGAACATCAATTCTGTCACTAAAGAATAACTCCGGAAGTTAGCGGAAAGACCAGAGAAATATCAGTTACACATATTTACTCACACAGTGGTTTTAGACCTAGCGCTTGCTCTACTAACATTGCTAAAAGTTCGAACAAAGGAATGTTCATCCGAGTTGGTGTATGCTGACATTTTGGTTTGGATAAAACAGTTTCAAGTGAAAGGAGAGACTATCGAGTAGTAATTAAAACGAATTTTTCCCACGAGGAAAAGCAACAATAATACGATTATCAATTGATCGGATGTTAAAAATCATGACACAACTACGTAATACTGTAATAGAAATCTTATACACACGGGATACAAATTGTGGAAGCTAGCACGGCTAAAATTTGTTTGTCTTTTCAGAAATATATAAAACCAAGAGGTCTCCTAATACCTTGGATCATAGCGAAACTGCATGGGAGGTAAACGGTATTCAATTTCTTGGATACTAAAATTGTCGGACCCAAAGCCTGCCTAAAGGCGACGACTATTTTATTTTCCCGTCCCGCTAAACCTAGCACTATTACTATCTCCTTCTCATTTTCAGGTTAAGTTATACCAATAATTTTAATGAATCAAGTAAATATTCGTTTTTTCTCATTAATAATACATCCAATTATTTTTACGATTCGGGAATATTGCCGGTATAAGTTCGAGGCGTTATGGACGTCCCAGATCCGGCATTACTACTTCTCACAACCCAATCTCAAACTTCACAAATGTCATACTCAAGATGTTTTACAGTCTCGGATAGATTGGATAAGGTTTTTTATTGTTCTTAAAGGTAGAGCTCGTCTTTGTATTACTTCTGGTCATGAAGTAGATCGGTAAGCAATTAGTGAAAAAATAAATAAATAAAATAATAATAATAGCAAGATGTTTGTAAAGGGATTTATAAGTGAGTTTACATTCGTTATTTACTAAAAGATGAACCTATATATTTGAACCACGACATAGTGTGTTTTTATGGCCTACGTCTCCAGGCTACACAATTCGATATGTGACATTACCGAACGCGAAAATTGTCACTCATGTGTTGATCACAATAACCAACTAAATGAATTCAATTATGACTGGTACTTCTGACTCATGACTCCTGCTAATTATACAACCCATACTCAGAAACTACCTATCACTTTTGGACCTACAAAAAGAGCATTGCTACAATCAAAAAAATCTTAAGAGT